TATAAGTATAGATTAAGAAATAACGTAGCTAAAGTGATCAAATTTAACGTCTACTTTAGAATTGATATACAATCATTGTCACCCACATTTCAGTGATAACAGTGATTTTTCGAATTATTTTCAAACAGACTTAAAGTCGTAGATCCAATATTTCTGCAACCGAATTAACCCGTCATCTATCAGTCACTTATCGGTTTAAAACGCAATGTATATTTGTTAACTTATTTTTATTTCAAATTTACTACGGCTCTTTGATGTTTTGCAGCAATGGTCACGGGGAAACACTATGATTAATATATTTCGCGTTTCAAACCATTAAAAGTGTATTATTTAAATGTGTACTACTCGGGTTAACTATACACAATACTTAACCTTTAGCTTCATAATTTAAAACTCTTTTGATGGTTTAAAATACAACGGCGATTAAAAATGAACCGATTCAAATTTGCGTAAACTTAATTTATATTTATTACAGTTGCATTTTTAAACTTTGCAGCAGCCCTGGTCACGGGGGAACTAGTTAAATAATATATTTCGCGTTGAAAACTGTTAAATTTGGTTTAGTTAATAGAAAAATAAGTTTTTCTGAAAAGCAACGTTTAGTGACAGTAAAAAACGTAACAAACTTCATTTCCCGCTATCTTATAATCTCAATAAATTCAAATTCTCGACTTTTTGCAGATTATAATTTTGCCAAAGAAATCAATTCTATTAAAAAATTCTATTCTCAGTTGGTCATACTGTTTTTTGTTGAAATGGTTTAAACTTTTTGTGGATTTCGACGACTACAGAATTGGTACTTAATTTTAGCAAATTCTAAACTGTACTTAATATACTTGACTTCTCATCACGAATTGTTTTGCTGGAATTATAAATGCTCTAGAGCCAGGCAGAAGGTACAAAATCTTAAGTGATAGACATATACTGTCGCTAAAATTTTTTTAGATAGGTTAAAGAGGAATCATTCTTTCATACATATTTTTGGCCATTTTCAACCGTTTGCGCAACGCACACAAAGGAAGCCCACAAAGATTTAAAATTTACCCCGTTTTTTCCACATTTCACACTGCTTCTTCGCTCCTATTGGTTATATCGTTATGTTTTATAGCCTTAAGCCTTCCTCGATAAATACTGTAACCCACATAAAAAGAATCGGAAATAAATTGAAAAAATTTTCGACTCGGGCAGTACTTGAACCAGCATCGTCAACGTTCCGTGCTGTTGCTCTACCAATTGAGCTACCGAGTAAAAATAATTTTCAATTCGAATTATTAGTTCGTAAGATTATAGTACGTTCAAAGAAACAAACTCTTCAGTATATATCTTATATTATAAATATAGATTTTGCAAGTCTGGCTCAAGCGAAGATACAGCGGGAAATGTAAATAATATTAGGTAATCGGTTTCCGTTGCGCACGCTTTTTCAGATATTCAAAATATGATAAAATGAATCCTCTTCAAATTATCTAAAAATATGTCCGCGACAGTATATTTCTATCTTTTAAGATTAATTTGCAAAAACGCCGAGACGCGGACGACGTCGTGGGTAATAGTTAAAGTAAAACGTTAGGAGGTTTTGCAAAATAAGTATTTTACATGCGGACGAAGTCGCCGGCTCAGCTAGTAAAGTACACATGTCATAGTCTAATAAATTAACAAATATCGTGATTAATTAGACAAAAACATCTGGAGCGGATAGACGAGATTATCACAGAATTCATCGTTACATGTAATGATCAAAGCGTAAATGTATTGAATTCTTTGCTCATTAAAATTTCACATATGTACATTAGAACATTTAGTTAACTAATTACTTCTTGTGATAATTCTAGATATCCATTACTAACATACTAATAGGGAGGTTGAAATGGGGATCGTTGGTTCAATGAATAACCAATGGGTCGTGGTTTTGTATACCGACGGGTCCAGTGAGCTTGTAAATCAATATCTGAAGTCTCAACTCTTACTTGCCTTTTTTTTAAGTAATTATTTGACGGGCTCCTTGGTGTATTGGTAGCATTGTATGGCCAATAAACAACATGTTTAAAATCAATTTATAATGTTACTGAAATGCTGGACTTTGTTTGCATATCTTGGATTAAATCGGGTGGTAGGAATAACAAAAGTCCGTCCGAGTAACGAACCACCCGTCAACAGATTGAAAAGGCATCAAGTGTAATAGAGTTTTGGCTTCGGTCTGTGGAATTCCGAAAATATGTAGACAAACATCTTGCTTAATATTTTATGGCTTGGTTGTTTGTCCTACTCTATAATAAAAAAATATAAGTCCACAATAATCTTTTCTGGAAGCCAGTTAATAGCCAATATATAATTCTGTGCACGACTGGGGATCGAACGCCCGACCTCAAGAAGATGGGTACCACTAGACCAGAAGTATTATTCTCGTAAAATATTTTAGCTAAGACTCGTTCATTCGTTGGGGCTCCTCTCCCCATGTGTTGGAGGTTGATTAATGACGTCACCAGCGAAATGTCGTTAGAACGATCATTTCCTTCGATGCTCCCACAGGCGAGGTTTTCCGTTTTTCTTTATAACATTTTCCCATTTTCCATTTTCTTAACTCGCGAGCATATTGCCACTGAATGAGTTTTAACGTTGATAGTTAAAACTAAGTAGGTATCACCATTTCTTATATTTTTAATATCTATCAGTTTTTTTTTATTATATTTCTCGATCTAAATGCGACTAAACTTTTAATTTCACATATGTACATTTTTGTGTCCGTTTTACAGATCGGTTTTATTTACAGGATAGTAAGTGATCAGAATTCTGCTTTGCCCGACCGAAACAATTCACTGTTTCCCCGGGATTCGAACCCGGGACTTCTTGCGCTTAACGCAATGCTATGCAATACGTTTAACTATTTTGCTACAGAGCCGGTCTAATTGATTTAATGCTATCTACTTGTCGACTATATTATTGTACTACTTGTCATTTCAACGTGAATTAGTGAATCTAAATAAATAAATGCGTAATCTAAATAAATTTAAACAGACTTCGAAACAAAATGATTTATCCTATGTAGTAGTACACATTTAAATAAAACACTTTTAACAAGTTTAAAAGTCGTGACCGCAGCTTTCCAAATCATACGAAACGACGGGCCGGAGTTAAAATAAACTAATATATTTAACGTTTTAAACTGTTAAAAGTGTTATTTTATCAAACAAGTTGATAATTATCGAACGAGTTTAACTAAAATATATCGAGTTTTAAACCGTTAAAGTGTTTTATTAAAAATGTGTACTATTTGCATAAACTACAGACAGTATATATTTTAGTAACATTAAAAATCTATGAAGCGGCAGACATTTACTGGATTATGGATTTATCCATTGTCTTTATTGCGTATCTCGAGTGTAACCGAGGTGCCCTATTTTTTATCTATAAAAGTCGTTCCGTAAATTACATTCGGAAGCCACAAAAGCAATTGGGTGCAGAACCACTACCGGACTTTAGACCGCATGAAGAGTTGATTAGTTTTTTTCTACAGGTCGTCATACCTATACAAACAAGCTATGATTTAAGATTTTTGCGCTCTTCTAACAATTATAGTAAGCCAAATACTACTTTGGGCTAATGGCACGATATAATATAATTTAAAAATCGAATTGTAGAGCGTTCCGTGCTGTTGCTCTGACGATGCCGGTTCAAGTCCTCTGAAACCTTGTCTGTAGTTCACGCAAATAAGATTCAAATAAAACACGTTTAACTGTTTAAAACGCCAAATATATCAGTTAAACTATATTTGACAACGAGTCAACGTTTCGTTATAAAGTGTATGTTTTTACCGTTTCAAACAGCTAAGACTGTGTTTGTTGTACCTACTACTTTTTGTTTGAAAATTCTATAAGTCGTTCTCAAGATAATAAAATAAAAAAAAAAAACATTTTTCTTATTATATAAGAATTACAAGAAGAGTTTTCTCATATTCAAGTTATTTGTAATTATAGACATTAGGTATAAAAAATGTCAAGTAAGGAATATAATACAAACCGAACTACCTATAATTAAAATCAATTGTATCTAAAAATAAATAAAAAAACTTTCAGATATACTGTCTGTAGTTTACGGGAGCAATACACAAGCAGAACGAAAACAAAACTAAACCATATTTTTTATTATTTGAAATAAAAAACGTTTAATGGAAATGTTTAAAAAGCAAAATGTATAAATAAATAATAATAATTTCCCCCCCTGACCACAGCTTATACTACTATTTCTGCGTCTAATGATAACAACGTTTAATATAAAGTAAATTAAAAATAAAACAACGATTATATTTTGAGTTTTAAACCGTTAAAAAGTGTTTAATACTTTTATGTAACAATCATATAATAAACACGTAACGTCACACCTTATATTAATACCAGCTGTATTTATTTGTTCCTTAAATGGCAAATATGATCATGTTTATCCATTGTAATCAATTACTAATATATCTATTACAATAGAATTATTTATACTCTACTTATTCTAGCCATTGTTTGTTGTTACGATTCATAAATGCAATTATTAATTGTTATTACAGCATCGTGGTTAGAATCGTAAACCTATTTTAGCCTATTAAACTATTAATCATTGTTTATTTATTTGTTTATATACTCTGTTCTTAGGAACTACAGATTCCAATAGACAAATGATTTGTGTTGATTACCATTTACTAAGGAAGGCTATAAATTCAGGCTGCCCAATATGAAGAAACTTGGAGAATGTAGAGAAAACGGGGAAAATTATTCATATAAAAATAAGCACCATTCAGCCTTTGTCCCACCACAACAAGTATTATGTATGATATTGTATTGTTGTGTATTCTTTGTATATTGTGTGCATTAAATGAATTGATTATTGTTTTGAAATATATTATGCAGTTTCTTCCGTATAACAGCGTAATATTTCAATTACCCGCTCCAAGCCGTCCTTGCATAACAGATTGTGAATGACAAATTTTAATCTATCCACGCCCGTGCCAAAAAAAACTAGAAGCTGCATTCAAAGTGAACGCACGGCTGACCACGATTCTCTATGGCCGGCATCGTCTCGCCGTGCTTTTTTCCTATGCCCAGGGCTGCTGGTATTATAATAGCATAATCTACGTACATATACTTCAGAACTTGCTGCACACGTTATTTATCGAAACACAACTGTTTAAAACGTGAAAAATATCCGTGAACTTATTTATTATTACGATTCAATGTTTCGGATACTTTGAAAAATCCGTGACTGAAGATTACCTAGTTTATTTTGCGTTTTGAGCTGTCAAAAGTGTTTTATTTAGTACTACATGTAAGACGTAAAAACTCGTAGAAAGTATTTTTTTCCTTAAGTTCTTATCTATGGGTAATTTATTCTTACATAGATATAGCTTTATTTGATTTAGCATTTGAAGCTATTTTATTTTACTATGATCTGACGTTTAAGACCTATAGACCGTGCTGAAAAGCTGAAATCGAATTTGCGATCATAGTAATTTCGGTCGTCCAAGGCACTGGTGACATATCACCTACTTGCCTACAAGATGTCCGTCCAGTACCCCATCGGATGAACTGGATTTCACAAACATCAAAATATTAATAATAGTTAAGATTTCCCCCAGCATCCAACAGTCAACCCTGATCTCCACAACGAAAAAACCGCGGCATTACGTGAATAATCATCTTGTTAACTGTTGATTTTAAGCTGCGGTGAACGACACCGACCCATTCATCGTTCATTGAATGGGTGTAAGCATTTCTTTCAACAGGAAAGCGGACAGGTTTAGAAAAATTGACTGACAAAAAGTGGAGCGGCTCGCACCTGTTTCAGTAGATCAAAGATGTTTTTAAGACGAAGTTTACCTAGTTTCTTTAATAGCTATTTAATTATCATAAATAAATAATTTCTTTACACTTACAGAATTGTATTATATTGGTGACAGCAGCGAAATGTGATGAAACGACATTCAAATTGCAGTACTCTCACAGTAAAATACCTACTGAAAATACTTATATAAACTAAATAAACTTGCTTGAATGTTTAGCGTTAACATTATTAGGTATTGTCGGTATACTCTCGCAAAGGGAATATGTACACGAAAATTAATGTTTTTGAGAATTTTTTATTTTATTTATTATAACTTTATTATTTATAACCCATACTACACATGCAAAAAGAGAAAACATCTTACGTACTAACTTATAAATAAAAGGCGGCCTTATCGCTAAGCAGCGATCTCTTCCAGGCAACCTGAAGTACAGGAAGAAAAAAAGATTTATTAAGTGAGTAGGTGTAAGGAATAACAAGCAAAAGAAAGTGTACATCGCAAAAGAATAAATAGCACAGAGATAATACCTTCTATTCTAATTAGGTATGTCTTAGTTATTCAGTTTTTGAAACTTAATTCTGGTTATAATTACGGAAAGAAAATGTAAAATGAATTTCGACTTAATTGTATCTATTCTAAAATTAACTCTTCGTCTTATAACTAAACACGGCCCCATAATACTGCCTAGCGCAATTCCTCGTGCAATAACATAAGAAATGTACCGTATAACTGCGCTTACCTAGTCGAATGCTAAGGTAATCTCAATAGGACGAGAGCCGTTAAGGATTTCAGTAATGCACCAGCAGAGCCATAAAAGGCTTTGGTCAGGGCCTTCACACATGATTTTCATGCGTAGCTTCTTTGACTCTAGTTTTTGCAGTTAACCGTTTTTATAGCAAAAAGGGGCTGTTAATAGCTTCTTGTTAATAGCGGGATAGATATGGTCGGTTAAACGTTGTTTACAATAAATAATGTTCTTCGATTGCATGTAATTGTGTTCGATTATTGACGGTAATTATTGACAAAACAATAATGACAAAAGTGTTTAACGCTTCTTTCGGTCACTTTTAGCACGTTAGTTAACGGAAATACCTACTTATTGTGTAAAATAAGAGAAAATGGCTTCGAAAATTCTTCTATTTCAGTTAATTTTTTGGATTGTAAAACTTTACACAACATTCTTAACGATCCACTTTAGGACAATTAATTTAAAGCAACAGATTAAAGTGACTGGTACATATACACAGAATAGCGCATGAAAAAGCATCAAGGTTGGTGGTGAGATGGAGTACTAGTACGAGTCTAAGATGATAACTGGAAACAGCACAGGATAGATTGATGAAGAATCTTCTGATTCTGATAACGGAAGAAACCAATAATAGAGCAATAAACAGATATTGTCGTTGGTAACGGATAGAATTATATACTATATTTTTATTGCACTTCTAGTAGTATAAATTAATATGCTACAATATTAATATAATACGCTTACAGCAAGTTGATATCATCAATACCACAAGGCTTATTTTTCATTATATGTTAAGCCTCGTGACATTTAAGGCTACTGTGCTGACCTATCATATTCGAGGGATCTTGATCGAAATTATGTGTAAGCTTAGTTGAAACTTGAAACAAATTAAAATGCTCTCACGTACCTCACCTTTACAATTATTTATCACAAGAGTTAACGAACGACATTCCAGCCCTGATCATTCAACTGCATCTGAGCTAATGATCCGACATTAAATACGGATATAAGACTATGTGTGATGATTGGAGTGGCCGCAAATACAACACTTTAAGAATAGATTAGCAAACTTATTATGGGGGGGATTATTAATCCGACACTACTAGTATCGGATTAGTAATAAATTACAACTTGTATATGTAAATATAATTTTCATGCAGTTTAATAAAACAAAGAAATAAAAGAAATTACTTATTTATAATAAATATTTGTAACTCGAGAACGACTGAACTTAGAAGAGATTAACTTAGGAGGACGTTTCCGTATTCTCCCAGTATTTTGACGTGACATAAAATGAAAAAAAGATAATGTTAGTCACTGCTTATAAAACGTAGTAACACATTTGTCATTCAATAAGAAACCGCAAACGACATGCAAGCGTAAGTTTATTTATGAACAAGTGTAGGTAAAATTTGATACTACTAATTCAAACAATTTAATTTTACACACAACACAAAAAAAACACAGGTTCAGCGTGAGAGGTCTTAGGTTCGAATCCCAGAATTACAATAAAGAATTCGTTACGGTCAGTCAGTCCAAAAAAATTGATATTTATTGAACATAAAATTGTTCAGTAAAACGGTCACAGAATTGCATCAGCCCTGTATGAACCTATCCCTTATCTTTAAAATATTGTATAAAGAGTTTTTTTAGGTAACTTAGTCTTTACAAAAAAACTGATTAATATTAAAATGAATAAATAGTAATAGGTAGTAGTTAACGTATATATGACCACAGATAAAACATTAAGCAGGTAGGTACCCTTGTGTGCGGTTCCATACTTCTGGACATAACGAACGCGCTAGATTAGCGATGCACGAAGTCTTTTCCACTTCAGTGGTCATGAAAATTGGCTTAAAGGTCTCCTAACGACTAACAGTTACACTTCTGACACGTAATACCAGCTTATATTCAACGCACGCGCATATCTTGCATTTTAAATAGCGATTTCGATATTTTATGGGGCATTTTATAAATAGATCGTGAAACAAATAAAGAAATGTGTCTACCCCATGCCCCAAGTCCTTGCTAGTATTTAGAATTAGACTCTTAGTATTACCTTAATTGGTGGCGCGTAATCCACTGCCATCATGCAGTCACTATTCACTCCAGCTTCAGTCTTAATCATGGGTGGCGCATGGTACAGTTGCCCCATTTGGTGATGGTGCATCCCACCCTCACCGCGACTGTACCATGTGGTATACATCCCGTAGTTATCACAACAGTCACTCATAAATGCATTTTATTTTACAGTTCTTCAAAATCCACTTTTCCTTACGATTGTATCCGTAATCGTACTTTCATAGTTGACCACTCACTTAAACACTATACTTAGTTTAAGCACCAGTAATTGAAATCTATTTTAACGGTTTAATATTGCACTGTATGTGATGTAAAATTTTGATAATCGTTTGCGGTGTTGTCTTTAGAGCGATCTGAAAAGAGAAAAGTATAATTCAGTAAAAATTATTGAATCCTATTAGTAACAAGTGTATACGTTAGACTAATGAGAGGGTTTAAATAAAACACTTTAACGGTTTAAAACGTGATATATATTAGTTAAGCTTATTTGATAATTATTCTTAATTAGCCGTGGTCACGGGGACGGCTGCTACAAAGCATCCCAAACATCGATCTGTAGTTAACAATAATTTTCAAATAAATTTAACTAATATATATCGCGTTTTAAAACGTTAAAGTGTTTATTTATATGTCTACCTATTACACGCATAAACTACAGAGATTATTTCCCACGGTTGGGAACAAGTTAAGTAAAGAACGTTTAGGAGCTTAGAAAAAATTAATATAGCCCCTTTGAAACGTGGACTACGTGGCTTAATTTATCTTTTTATATCGAACTAGCATATTGCCCTAGACGGAATTCAAACCCCGGACTGTGATGCGTCAAGTGCTCTAATTACCAAACCAACGAGATATTTCATAACATATTGTAGATAATAATTACTAAGCCAATGAAATAAGCTTTCGTTGCTGTCCGTACACCTGCAGTTAGCGCATCTTAATTAGAATATAATGTAAAGCTGTTATCGCTCGGTACAAGCTTTTATTGACTAAATAGCATACATCTACAGTTCATTGACCTAGTGGCCACGCCCTTCGCAACGCCCACCTTAAGCTCCGCCTAGGTATAGTCAGGTAATTTAATTACGACTTATCTTAATTTATATTATTGTTCAGTGCTAAAATTAGTTTTGTATGCGTGTCTCTGCTCCGATGGAGTTTCAAAGAAGTCGTTGGGGTGAGATTTATGCTCACAGTCGACGGGTCGTGGATTCAAGTCTTGTATAATTGCTGGATTTTTATCATTTACATATTATGTTCATTTGTGTAATATTTATGTTTTTTATAAGTTCTCGTATGGAAATTATACTGATGAAAGTTTTCAATGTAACAAAGTACACAAAGTAAAACTATTATAACGGATTAAAACGTGATATATTCCATTAATTTAGAACTACGCCTCGGACGCTTCACCCAGCCCTGCACACACGTACCAATTCAAAAGAAATGACAAATACATTTCGCGTTTCGAGCCGTTAAAACGGTTTTATTCGAAATAATTGTGGCAATAAGTGGCTTTTAAACCGAATTACTCGGCTCGCATTTGACCATGTCAACCAATTATTCAACGAAATTAGCCGTAAACGCGCCAATTGTTTAACTTAAACGGTTTTGTTTTTACGCTCAACTGTTTAACATAAACGAAATGCTAATTGTAAACTTAATTATACTAAGAGAATATTGTATCAATAAATTTTAAATTAATGCCTTCGAGAGTTCACTCAGCTGGCCTAGCACCATACAGACCAGACAGCTAAGTTTCTAGGCCTTTAATCGAATCCCGCTTTAAGCAAACGAGATTCAAAAAAGCCCACTACGCTATACCGGAGCGAGTTCGCGGGTTTTAATTACTAAAATAGCTTTGGTAACTAGTGGGGCATAGGGCGAACACATTTCTGTGTCCGTTTCACTGATCGGTTTTATTTACAGGCAAGTGGTTGATCAGACTTCTGTGCCCTGCCCGACCGAAACAATTAACTGTTTCCCCGGGATTCGAACACAGGACCTCTCGCGCTTAACTCAATGCTAGGCAATACATTTAACCATTTCGCTACAGAGGCGGTCCTAACTGTTGAGGGGTGTCTATTTACTACTTTGGGTTCTAACTAATCTAAACAAGGACTGTCGACCTATTTTGTCTTTGGATATTCGGAAATCCACAGACTGAAAGTTAAACGCGATTAAGCACGCCTTTTTCATAAAAATAATAAAACGTAATCCATTTTTATTTTATATAATTAATTGCCAATGTTAGACCCCTGGGGGCGACATCTTATCAAGAGGTAATTGATCAGTTATCGAGCGGGTTGCAAACTGATTATATTACTAAGAAAAAATACAAAAAAATGGGAGTACGAAGGGTGAAAATTAAGGGTTGTATGTATACTTTCCGCCTCTTGATCTAAATGGTTAAACGTATTGCCTAGCGTTAGCGAGAGGTCCTGCTACGAATCTCAGGGAAACAAAAAATTGTTTCGGTCCGGTAGGGCACAGAAGTCAGATCAACAACAACAAAATTGCCTGTTAAAGATTTATATAGATAGTTTTGCCCCATGCCCCACGAGTGGGAATCAGAATTTCACTTAAAACTAAAAAAGTGTATTTATAGTAGGACAAAACAAATTGTCCATTTAATATAACAAAATATAAAAGTTGGTCCCAATACGGAGAAGTATGGTAACTAACAGTGACACAAGAATTTTCTATATTACGCGGTCACGGTAGTTAGAATTGACCACAGGACCTTGAGGTGTTATTTTTAAACAATCTAACTGCATACATTCTCTAACCGGTGACATAAAACATATTTCGATTAATATTCCAGACACATATCTGCGCACGCGCGCACTTGTAACTTAATTACATAACCTATCGATAAATAGAAATATTTTATCATTTTTCTTAGATAAAACTTAATAAATGTGAATAATGTTAGCTTATTTTATCGCGGTTATAACAACGTATATACAAAAATAAATCAACGGAAATCGTTTGTCTGTACATTGAAAATATATATTGATAAATGACATGATAAATTTAAAAATAGGTATATACTTTCGCATTTTTTAGATTATTTAAAGTAGTATAATTATGTTTCTATTGGTCGTCTTAAGATATATATCCTAAAGCCTCCATTCTCTAATATGTTGCAAAATAATAAATGCATGTGTCAATAGGTTGAATAAATCGACGATGATGTGTAGGACACGGTAGCTCAATTGGTGAGAGCAAAAGCACGGGACGCTGTAAATGCCGGATCGAGTCCCGCTTGTGTTTTAATTTTTTAAAATCTAAAATCGATTTAAATAAAACACTTTAACGGTTTAAAACGCGATATATTAGTTAAACTTATTTGAAAATAGTTTAACTAATATATCGCGTTTTAAACCGTTAAAGTGTTTTATTTAAATGTGTACTACCCGCGTAAACTATAGACAGTATCTAAAATCGATTTTTAATCTATACAATGCTACGTGAAAAATATTAAAATGTTTATACATGTAAAAACCTACCGTCGTTTTTTTTATGTTTTATGGAAAGGACAAGCGTAAATTAAAAAAAAAAATTGGACGGGCATAGTTGAGGATTGTTTTTAAATAACCGTTTACCATAAAACTCATTAGGTATAAATTAGCATACTGAGCACTTAACGACAAGGAATCAATATTAAACCATTAAATAAATCAAATTAATTATGTTTCTATGACAAATTAAATGTATTATGTACATAGTTTAGTCGAAATACACCTGTATAGCCTTATATGTCGAAATTAATTTACCGAAACGAATATCGAATTAATTTATTCACATTGCTTCTTCAAACGATAAAAGACTATCAATGCTAATCTGTTTATTATGAAAATAAAACATGATCTACCTACAGAGTATATTTGGAAAACATAACAAAGTGAAAAAATCTATACTAATACTAGTTGAGTCACGCGACTTTGTACGCGTTGAATAATTATTTTAGATATCAATTTTTGTTTCTGCAAACCTTCTGTTTGGATTTGAGCTGCTGCTCCCGTCCCTTCCCGTCGTTCTTGCAAGTTGATCTTAAAAGATAGACATACTGTCGCGGACTTTTTTCAGATCATTGAAAAAGAAAAATCTTGAATCGGTTTCGCAGCGTGCGTAATGGAAACCCACAAGGATGACTAATTTTCACCGTTTTTCCGACATTTCCCGCTGTTTCTCCGCTCCTATTAGTCAGAGCGCGATGTTTTATATATTAGTATAGATAAAAAGCTGAAGAGTTTGTTTGTTTGAGCGCGCTAATCTCATAAACTAATGGTTCGAATTGAAAAATTATTCTTGTGTAGGTTAGATTTATTGAGGAAGGCTATAGGCTATAAAACATATCGCTGTGACTATAGAATCGGAGCGAAGAAACAGCGGGAAATATGTTTTCGACAACGGGGACGTCGGCCCCGTCCCGTCGTTCTTGCAAGTTAATCTTAGAAGTTAGACATATATTGTCGCAGATAATTGTTTAGATTATTTGAAGAGGAATCATTCTTTCATAAATATATTTTGAGTATCTTGAACTCCGTAGCGTACGCATTGGAAATCCACATATTTGAATAATCTTTCCCGCTTTTTCCACATTTCCCGCTGTTTCTTGACTCATATAAATCACATCGCGTCGTTTTTAAATAGCCTATCCTTCCTTTATAAATGTTTTGACGAACACAAAAATTTTCAATTGGAGCCAGTAAGAAGTAGTTTCTAAGATGAGTGCGTACAAACAAACTATTCAGATTTATATATTATACAAAACACATGAAGATTACATATAATTATTATATTATGAACACTTAAAACGGTTCAAAACCAAAATACATAATCTTTTCTTAAAGGTTCTATGCAAGCAACCTATTTTGAAACAAAGCCTATATTTGACGAAGGCCTGATTTGAACTTATTTATAAGAGGAAACAGGCTACTTTCAGTGAAGTACGAATTATATCGAAGTGCGATGCGATGTCGGCCTATTTTTTGGACATTCGGCAAACCACAGATTGACGCAGTAACGATGCTTTTTACATCCATTTCACGTGGCTCAGAGGAAATTTTGATATTTCTCTCGGATCTAGTTACCAGAATATCCTGATTTTGCCAGTGA